TTTTTGTCTGCTCACGATTCGCCTTTGTCGCCGCTCGTTTTCCTCAAAGTGCGTCACCCACGAAAGTGAAGTTTGGCCGAAATTGCTCGCCGTCTCTGTGAGCGGAAGGCTGCTCAGCCTTCGCGCGAAATGAGTTTGACCCGTGCTGTTCCACTGTGTGACCCGCGCTTGATCCGAGTGTCGTTCGAGTCTGACCCATTGGTTTGCAGGGTGCGGTACCCGCGGAAAACGCCACGCGAGAGCCATGCAGCGCGTGACCATGCAGGAGGGTGGCGTGGTGTACAAGGTGAGACTTTCCGCCGTCTGCGTGATGGTGGGCATTGTGAAGGACGGACGTTTGCCGTGCGAACCCGTCTACCTGTACGCGTGAGTGGTATGTAGTATCCGGCGGTATGTGGTCCGATTGAGGTGGGATAATCTGGATCATAGCTGTCGCTGCTGGTCTTCGTTGTGCTGCTTATCCGTGACGATGTAGCAGTCCTGTTAGCTGCCTCTGCGTGGTATACGGTTTGTCGGCGGGGGCTGCGGTCACAAATCTGGTGGTCTTGGTGTGGTAATGGTGTCTCCAGCGGTGTTCAGAGCTCGTCGGAAGGAGGCGAAAGCAACTGCCGGCTCACAGAACATGTCGTGCACTATTGACGACTTAGTGTACTTTGTCGGTATTCCGCAAGTTTGCTCTGTCGGCATGCAAGTGCCAGCACCGCGCGCGCGCTGACGCCAGCGTGGCGCCGCGCGTGTTTCAGTGCCCGAAGTGCTGGAGCATTAAGCCGGAGCGGCACACCACTGCTCCATCTGCCAGCGGTGCATCCGTAAAATGGACCACCACTGCCCCTGGGTCAACAACTGCATCGGCGAGAACAACCAAAAGTTCTTCGTGCTTTTCACGGTTGGTGTTTTAATGCTTCGACGTTTTAGGCACTCGTCAGCGTTACCTGTTCTCAGTATGTTCTGGAGGTTCTTGTTCTGTTGGCCTTGATGTAACGCTCTGTGTAGTCTATAACGTTGTGTGAGCTATGTTTTGTACTAATACTGTGCTTGGGGGGCGCTGGCGAACATTGCGCGTGGCGCGCCTGGACCGCTGGCCGCTGACCTGGCCTGCCCCGGCAGCTGTATATCGCAGCCATCTCTACCCACGCGCTGGTGCTGGCTGTCAATCAGTTCGTGACGTGTTTCCACCACGAGTGGCGAACGTGCAGCGCTCACACGCCGCCCGCCACCGTCGTGCTCCTGCTCTTCCTCATCTTCGAGGGCGTGCTGTTCGGCATCTTCACGCTAGTGATGCTCGGCTCACAGATACAGGCCATCTGGACCGACGAGACGGTACGAACTGTCTGACAGACAGCCTGTGCCTGGTTGTTTCCACGAAAGGTTGCTGCGTGAAACGTGGAGTATCTTAGCGAAACATTGTAGGTCATGGAAGTCGGAACACGCAGTGCTGTCGACAGAAACCGCTGGGTGACGGGCGTCGGCGACTTACAGTGTCCGCGTAACAGCCCGAGGAATGTAGCGCAGCGGCTGTGACCAGTCCGTGATATATCTGCCCGGACAGCGCCGTGGGCGGGATAGCTCCCCCGTGTCCGGTGGAACAGCCCGAGGGATGTAGCGCAGCAGCTGTGACCAGTCCGTGATAACGCCTGCCCGACAGCGCTGTGGACGGCCGGCCGCCAGCGAGCGTGGGCTGCGTTCTATCGCATCTACCGATCCTCGCGGCAGGGCATCGAGACGCTGAAGAAGGAGGAGGTGCGCTGGGAGCGCCCAGTCGCGCTGGAAGAGCCTGCAGACGGTGTTCGGCAGGTTCTCAGCCTCCTGGGTTTCTCGGTTCACGCGGCCGCCGCTACACGGCAAGGCCGTCGGACACATGTACTCCGTGAGCATCGGCCCGGCTCAGGTCAGGTCGGCGGGCCGTGGTCAAGGGGGCTAGGTGGCGGGTCAGGGCGCAGAACGCATGGCCTTCTGGGTTGCCTTTGACGTCGGAAGTTGTGCGGATATGCGTTTTACTCCCTGCTATCCATAGGTCCTTTTCTGGTCTTTTCGGCATTAGTGTTGTTAGTGTACAGAGTTAGCTGGGTGTTCGTCCAATCCATACCCGGGTCTCGCCACACCCACGAGCATGCTGGGAGACGGCACGAAAATTCACTTGAATGATTTAGCTTTATTTAATTTTGCGCAGTTTCAAACGGCTCGCCCACTCTCGCTCCAGGTGTTCCGTGTAATCGAATGTGTGTATCATATTCGACCACGGACGTTTCCGTTGGATGCGTCAGGCTTGAACCCGTCAGGCGGCGTCGCGGCCGCCTGTGACGTCATTGGTAACCCCTGTCGTTGCAGAGTCCAGCCTAGGCGAGCCTGTGAGGCGGACGTCTGCGCCTGGCCGCCTGGCCCGGGGGCCGGCGCTGCGCCGGTGTGACCGGCTCGGCGCCGGCTGGGCCCGCCGACGACCGCGCCCGCGTGACTGGCGGTGTTTCCGTGCTCCGTGCCGGGCCGGTGGCGCCGCGTCACCCAGCCCGGCCGCAGAGACCGCTCGTCCACCGCCGGTGGCGGCGGCAGGGGGGGGGGGGGGGCTCGGTGGGGCAGGTGACGGTCCGGTGCGTGCTGGTCTTCCGCGGCCCCGGCTGCCGCCGGTGGTGTGATATCGGGGAGCGTTCGGCGGGTTGTTGGCCGTGCTGGCGCCGGCCACGCAGCCGCCACCATGGTGTCCGTGTGGTCACGCGGTTATGTTGTGACTATTGTCTCCGTGTTCACGGATGGGGCCGCGAGCGGCATCAAGTCAGAGTCACGCCGACCTGACCCCAGCCCTGCGGTGGGTGACCAAGGCCATTGTTGGCTGAAAGCGACGAACATCGAGTTAGTCGGTGTCGGGATCCTTCTCTCGCCGCCGTTTAGGTCAGACCGCACAGCGCTGCGCCGCCATGCTGCCGGACGCCGTCGGCCGCTGCCCGACAGTGACGTAAGCGGGCTGACCACGGCTGGTGCTCTGCCCTGTGCTTGGTCGGCCCCGCCCCGTAAGGTTGTGATACTCGAGTCGTGTAGCGATAGCTGGTATGTTGCGCGTCTACGTGTCGTCCCTCGCACCGCCCGCGCCTTCGCAGCTGTGGAGGTCGCTCAGTTTTTCCGGGCCGCTCGGCCGTGTTTTCATGTGACCTCTCGCAGCGCCGCACTCTCTCCTCTCAGGGCGCGCCCGCCTCAGGGTGTCGGGCGCCGCCGCGCCACGGGAGCCTTGCGATAAGTGGCACCCGAGACAGGGCATTGGCTCGGTTCTCACACACATGTCCACGTTACTCATGAAGCACGTTTTCTCTCCCCGATCTCGGCTTAGGGGCGGCACCACGCGCTGGATGGCGCGCATGGCTGCGACGCGCCCTCTTGATGCATACCCGGAGTGGGCTGCGTGGCGTGGGGCGCATCCCGCCTGCACGGCCCGTGCTTTGTTCGTGTTTTACGCACAGATTGTCAATGTACTGTACACATGCATGTGAAACAGGCGAGTCGAGCCGAGCGCGTGTGTGCTGTCGCCGCTGCCGGGCCCGGCGGGCGAAGCGCCGCGCGGAGGAACGGTCCCGCGGCGGGCGTCCGCAGAGCGCGGTCGCGGCGTGGTGAAAACCCACGTCAGCCGGGGCTATCCAGAGCTGCCGTGCAGTGCGAGCTTAGCAAGACGGTCAGCCTCCCACGGCCGGAGAGACGGACTCCGGCCAGACAGGGAGTTTGATGCGCGCGTGCTAACCTCCGGCCTCGCGAAGCAGATTGCGGCACCGCGGCCAGAACATGACGACAGGAGGGCCATGCTTCGGGCCTGAGCCGCGCTAAGCGCGGCGGCGCACCGCCTTCCCAGGCGTGACCGATCCCAGGGCCCCGCGGTGCCTTCAGGCATTGGGTGTTTTGATGGCGTTAAGATGCGGCTAAATGTTCTCTGAGTGCTGTGCGCGGGATTATATGTGAAGCCGCAGCCCAGAATACCTTTTTTGTTAAAGCGTGTGGTGTAAAACTTGAGATTGACGGACAAAAGACGTCACAAAGCCACGCCTACCACAAGCTTTTGGGTCCGCTGTCGTGGTGCATTTGCAGATATTTCGTGCGTTACATCTATTCGTACCTGTTGACCCAACGACAAGCGTCTGCATACCTCTATTTCGACCCGTTGCCTAGCATACATAGTCCGATCGAAGCCGATTATGTTGCCCAGGGACACTGGAGCACGGCAGCGCAAGCACGATATCACAAGCGCCAATGTATATAAAATAGACTCTGTTACCAACAGTAAACTGAACAGTTATCAATCAAACGTGCGGTGTGATCAAGGAACACAGGCGAACTGAGATCTCACACACACAACGGAGCACGTGAACCAGTGACCCGGCCGCCATTGCACATTTTATACTTCACCGCGAGAACGACACGTGTAGCGCCACACCCATTCGGCCGGGTGGAACGCTTGCTTCCTAGAATCTTGTCAGTCCAGACACACCACTTGACCCGCAGGTGAATAAGTGCGGTCTGTGACAAGTGAGTTCGGTGGCCCCGCGTGCTGCCGGTAGTCGGGGGAGCGCGGACCAGACACAAGGCGTCCGTTGCGACGCATCCATTAACTGCCCACAGAGTTTAGAACGCGAGTAGTCGTTGGAAGACGTGGAGGCCCGCTTCTCCTGGAAAAGGTGGCGGCATATTAGAGTTCCATCCAATGCTATCTCAAGTTCAGACCGGCCTCGCGGTTTGACGACACCAGCCCTACAGCATGACAGGACCCACCAAAAAATGATGTTTTGATGACTTTCGAGCCATATTCGAAGCGCATTTACGTACATCAACGGAAACTGGGCCCGGCTCGTGTGATGTAAGAGCTCGTGTGGTGACGATCGGAACCATCAACTCTGCCCGCCTTACGAGCCAGAGACCACGCGTCAGGAGCGCGCTCCCCGCCGCTAAGGCAGGAGTCGGCACATACCCGCTTCTGCTGGGCAGCGTGCAGGGGCATGCCCAGATCGGTAAGGTGGGGCGGCGGGGGAGCCGGCCGTGGCACGCGCGATCAGCACCATGCACTCATCCAGCGTGCGTATGAACGTGTCGCACGTGGGGCCCAGCAGCGAGGTGGCCTCCTCCAGTTGCTGAAAAGCGCCGGGGTCGGCGTCAGCTGGCTGCCGCACACGCCAGTCTTCCGTGCGGCGGGCGAAGCCCGTCACAGGCCGCAAATTGTGGTGCAGAGCATTTGTTGATCTCCGAGGTGGCATCCGGACGTGCCCAGCCGCAAGGTCTCTTACAACGAGTTTTCTGTCATATCTATCACACATCTATCCAGCAGTCCAGCCCCGAAATTTTGAGCTAGCTGGATTTCAGGAGGTTCCCTTTTGACCGGCTTCCTCAATGCACGGCAACGGTATCTGTTCGTGGCATGCTCAGATGCCACCAGGAGTGTGACCGCCCCTGCAGGCACGGCAACGGTATCTGTTCGAGGCATGTTCAGATGACACCAGGAGTGTAACCGCCACTGCAGGCACGGCAACGGTACTGTTCGTGGCATGTTCAGGTGCCCACTAGGAGTGTGACCCGCCACTGCAGGCACGACAACGGTATCTGTTCGTGGCATGTTCAGATGCCACCAGGAGTGTGGACTGCTACTGCAAGAGCCTGCCTTCCGTGAGGGGGCGACCGTCACACAGCGCCGAGGCCCGGGCCGACCGTGCTGACCTGCAGCTGGGGTCCGTCCGGGTCGGAGGCCGCCGTCTTCACCTGGTGCGCCTGCTGCATCAGCAGGTCACAGTACAGCCGCAGCTCGGACTTCTTGGGTGCGCACGTTATCAGTGCCGGTGTCGCCTGTGGGGCGCGGCAGGCTAAAGCGCGGGACGGGCCGACTACCGTGCCCTCCTTCCCCCCCCCACCCCCCACACACACACGCCGCACATCAAGCGTGGATCGGGGGTTGGGAGACCTCGTCTGTCAATTCACATCCCTTACTGTTAGCATATGTGCTCCACAGTGTCAGCCATATATTCGCTATGCTTCCTCCCGGGATGTAACCATCGTGTAGGGGTGGGAGGGGGGCAGGGAGCGACCCACTGCCTCAGGTACCCAAGCCAAGATATGCACCAATTATCGGCGATTTCGAAAAAAAAACTTAGTTCATATTCACCTTCACAGATTTTTGGATAAATTTTGGCACCGCCCTCCCATCCTACCAACCACGCACCTGGCCTCCTTCCACCGCGCTAGGTCGGCATCCGTCATACCAAACGATTGCACCATCTGAGCACACCAAACGACCGCACGTCCGACCACATCAAACGACTGCATCACCAGCACTCGCGAGTCAGCGCGTCTCTGGTTACGCTCGCCGGTCACGGCGCCCGCCGGCTGAGCCGTACCTGAGGACTGGCGACCGGTGCGGGCCTTGCCAGCGGCCTGCTTGGCGCACCCCAGAGCGATCAGCCACTGCTGGCGCTGCTGCGCCGAGCCGGCGCGCAGGTAGTAGTGCTGCTCGGACGGGATGGTCAGGTCGAGCCGCGTGCTGTCCGTGGCGTGCACGCCGATGTCGCACACGGACACCTTGATGGAGCCCTTGCTGCCCTTGGAGACATCCTCCTTGGACTGGTAGTAGGACAGGATGCCATCTTCCAGGATGAACCAACGTGGCTGCCACCCTGTACCAGAAGGGCAGAAAAGCATGAGTCATCAGCACTTGTAGCTGTAATCATGTACATGCACTGCTGATGAAGAGACTGAGCAATACTAAATTGTTATTGCATGCATATTGATCCACTTCTGGATGAGTGCCCCAGAAGTTTTGAGCTATCAACAAATGCCCACCACAGCTCATGTCTGAGGCACCTGAGCAAGATGGATTATGCAGGAAATTAAGTGAGTATTAAATTGTGGATTTGTGACTTGCCTGTCAGCAAAACAAAACAATATATTCACCATTAATAGCTGAGACAGCATGCACTGTAGGCTGTGGGACAGTAATCAATAACATTTTTCAAATTGAAGACACATGAGGAAACAAAACTGTAATGCATCAGCATAATTATTATAAGATGATTTCTGCTGTAACAAGTCTGTGAAATACTTACTTACCATTCCAATAGTTTGTCCATTTGTGCAATATACCCTCCATTTTCACCAGTTATGTTTCCTTTTCCCCATCCATGCTTTGCAAGACTTCAGTGCATATCAGTAGGGAGAACAAAATTATAGTCCTTGCTTTCTCATTAAAATGAGAATTGCTGGTGCTTGTAATCTCTATGGAGATATTTAAAAGACAAAGAAAGATGAAGCCTGGAATAGACATTTGAATTGAAACAAAATGTTTGACCTGCTGAATACCATGTAGACTATCCAATATGCACAAATATTTCTCACATAGTGCATATGCATTCAGAATGCTCTGGAATTCAAGTTAAGTTCTTCTATAAACACCTGCAGGCACCATATTCATGACCAGATGCATCAGGAGCCTGAGGTACTCAAATAAGTGACACCTCACTGAATGGTATCAGCTGGTGCCATCTCATGTTTGTCATGTCATTATTTTCAATGTGGCACCATGATGCACAAAGCACCTGATGCCATATGGAAATGGATGCCTCTCCCCCTGGCAGAACACACAGACACTGCAGGGGATCAAATCCAATATCCCTAGTTTTTCAACTTGTAGCTTCACTAGCTTTGAAGCTTGTAGCTACAAGCTTGCATGATTCATAATAATAATTCACTACGTAGACCATTACCAGTTGAGATGAGAACCTACCAGTTTCAAAGTGTGTCAACTGTCTGGCACTTGGCCCACTGCCAGGACATCTAGTAATGGGAAAATGGGTTTGAGTTGTTCCTTCTCAAATTCATCCAAATTCAAGCAGCATAATTAAGACACCCAACAACATTTGGTCACTGTTAAATCCAGGTTAAGAATACAGGTATGAGACGGCATAGTGGGTTTGCCAGTAGTGGGATTTCCCTTCCATGTTGTCATTTTGCAAACCCTCTTCTTATATTATATTTCCATGGGTTTTTCATTATATTCAATCACAGTAAGCAGTGCTTATGAAAGACATAAGCATTGCACATGCTGCAAAAGACAATAACCTTTATGAAAGCAGCTTTAACGCAACTAGCATGTTGAATAATGTGATGGTCGACTATCACTGTCCATCCTTTGTTTTTTTCAGGTGCATGGGTGTTATCTAGAGCACATGCTAGCTGGATCGCAGCTCCTATTTTGTGAACATCCGCTTTTTGAATTTTGCAAAACAGGCATTCGTCACACCAATCAAAAATGTACTGAAATTCAATACATCTGAAGTTGAACATACCTCAAATTGCCGGCCGTATCCATCGCCTGCAGAAACTGACAAGGTGGCAAGTGAACCTGGCGCAGCTCCCCGGATCGCCTGCGTCATACGTCAGCTGATGACGGCCCTCAAGGGTACTTATTTATTAGAATGTTTACGAGAGGAGTCCGATTCAAATGAAAAAGGTCCCCGAGTCCTCCTGAGCACCACGTGAACGATGCGTATCATACTTCTTTTTCGTCCTCACCTGACACGTTACGTTGCATTGAAAACTTGTCAATGCCCGTCCAGCTAGTTCGAAACCGCACTATCGAGCGCTGAAAACAGCGAAGTCCCAAACCGCAAGGCCCTTATTGTTATGCAAAATATGTTCTTGCGGATCACACAAGGAACACTGTGCACATCAATTTTGGCACCTGAAGCCATTGACATATACAAGTCTAGACAGCCTACTGCCATTGGCGCGGCGACCGGCCGGTTGTTCCCAGGTCAATGCCTGAAGCAGATGTTTTCATTATGCCTCTAGCCCTCCGACGTATTGAGCACGCTACACATAAGTTGCGTCACGCAGATAAGACAAAATGCCAGTCACCCAGCATTTACCTCCTCACATATATTGCCACGAATTCACCAGACATACTTGGGACGGCGGAACGTCGCTTGGACCTCACAATAGCGTCTCAAGACATCGTGCTTTTTTTGCCATAGTTTAAATAATGTCCTAAGCGAGTCCACGTGTCGCCTGATTTTGTGGTACCCACTGGCAGCTGTCACCTCGAAAAGCTTTATTTCTTTTTGTTGACTAAACGCACCGTGACAACAACCACGTACAACAAAAATTCAATCCCATGATCGCAAAGTATCCGCACTGTCGCTTTATTTATACCATTGGCTCGGGGGCTGAAAACCACACCGGGTGTGCGCTACCCTGTAACACGTATGACTCACAAAATAGTGTAGTGCGCGATGGAACATCTGTTTAGCTTGCAGAATAGTCCGCCTTATTTCCTCCTTTGCGACATATTGATCGACGAAATCATAAGATCAAACCCAAAGTCTTCTGCTCGGATTATTGGGCAACCCTGTTGTCACTTGTTTACCCCGACTTCACTCATCCTCCCCTTGCCTGTACCATAAATGTTTATCATTCTTTACGCACACAAGAAATAAACATTACATTTTTTCTGGGTGCCAAGCCGTCGGAGAATGACTGGGAACGATCGAGCTGATCAATTCGCTTAGAAAGCATTGACGTCCCCTGACATGACGCTGATCCTTGTTGACGATACTTCGATAAAAATGACCATTCATAGTTTGGCAAAACAAGTTTGGCAACGACAGGGACGGAAACCGCCAGGATCCAGTTTCATGACACAATACCAGAAATTGGCCATCAGTCAACCGTGCAGACTGTTTAGAAGAAAAGTATTAGCACGTCTTCGAATCGGACACACAAATCTTTCACATACTTTTTTAAAACACCCTCGTCCCCTCTGCCAACCGTGTCATCGTCCCCTTTTATTTAAACATATTTTGTTTGAATGTGTTCAAAAATGATAAGAAATGAGCTCATCAAAACTGATAATGTGCTTTGTTTAAGCATGTATTGTTTAAATGTGGCTAGTTTCAACAGCAGCGAAAGGCATTAGAAGCATATTGTCGTCACCAAAACGTTGCGTTGCCGTAAAAAGTTATCTTAGGTAATGACCATCAACATCTTCTTGTCTTTTGTTCAATTTTCTTAGACGTGCTGATATGCTTCAAGAACTGTGACGGGTTATCACCTTCATTGTGCTATTTCTTTCTTCAATCACATCTCAAGATTGATTTGAAAGAACCCTCCCAAAGGCGCGAAATGGTGCGAACGGCCCGAAACGCCTCAAACCAAATAAAGTAAAGTCAGGTCAAAGTGTCATTAATCATCGAGGCAACTCGACCCACTCCCCGGTTACGCCCGATTGGCAAGACCTGTCTTGATATAGAGTGGTTGCTCCTATAGCGGCTTGGCCGGGGTTCGGGCGTGGCACGTGGCGGAAGGGTCGTTGTAAGCCCATCGATTTTGTCCGGGCGCATCGAAAATGGGACCGATGCCAAAGTCGGCTAGCAACTGTTAGAAACCGTGCCAGATCTCGGCAACACGTGGTTGGAGCGATAAACACGCTTAGGTGAATAACTGAACGGGGAATCGCCTGGCGTGATATTTGCAGTAGTACGTGTTTTATGTCACGCGCACAGACACGGCCAAGATGGATCTGCTCGGTTTTTGGCCGCTTTCATGTTTTTTGTCATAGCTTAGCAGCTAGAACATGTAGAGGTGCTAATCCGATTTCAAAACGTCGATCGACGTACAATCGTCAATTCATGTGTCCAATACGAGTTTGTGCGGCGGACGGTTGTGCCGATAGCCATCGGACGGGTTGGAAATGTCAGCGTTTCGACAGGTCGGAACTGTCGGCGCCGAGTACAGCACGCTGTTGCAGAAACTAGCCAGGATCGTGGCGAAATCTACACCATCAGCTGCATTGATTCATTGCCTGTATTCACCATGATTTTATTCGTCAGTCTGTGCACTGTCATGTTCATGCGTAATACTTGCCTAAAGAGTTCCAGTTTCATATTTTCGCGCAATCAAGACGCCACCGGTTGGTTGCCCAGCCGCTGGTGACCAGAATTTTAAACAATGCGACGGAACGCGCGCGCGCCGCATGTTGCCTGCGTCTGGCAGCCGCCATCCATTCATTCATTCGTTCGTTCGTTCGTTGCAGCGAGAAAAGTGAACCGTAGTAGCCATCAAATGCATTATTCGAACTCCTTGCTTTGACAAATACCAGATAAAATAAATGCATTGGGTTACGCATAAATTGCAACAGGTGCGATAAAACGGCCATATAAATGCAGTAATTTTTTTCAGCGAAGCTCACTGCCGCGGCAAACTGCACTCCCATTGGCTACTCGGGGTGTGTTTTGAAGCCATTCAAAAGTCTGAATATGGACATATGATACTATGTAACACAGACACATTGCAGTAACATTGACTGGTAGCAGTGGTGAAATCAAATAGATTTGACATTTGCAGTGGTATGAAGTGCTGTTTTCTTGCACTTTTTGAGCGCGTAACGCTCGTAGCATAGCACTCCAACCGCAGTGAAAATCTGGAAAGCAGAATTTAAAAGCTGAACAATCGCTGACTTTGTCTAAGTAAGCAGATCGTGCGTTCACCGCAGAAGAATGCCTCAAATGATGGTTCCTAATCATTACTTTGCACCACTTTCTTATGCCTCATCAGCTTCGACGTATGCCTAGCTGACGCGAGCCGGCAAGTGCTGTGGCAACGACTACCTCAGGTACGATTTAATGCTATCTTCATTGGCTTACGATCGCTTCTTGACACAAACGAAATGGGGTTCTTCAGGCATTTGTAATAGCCACCTCCAAGCATGCAAATGCGGATAAAGAGGGCGAGAGAGGTGTGGGCTATCGCCCACCGATATCTTTGAAAGTTGCAAGCGATTAATCCCATGATGCTGCACGAAAAACAAACACATGGGCTAAGTTTGTTTCCCACGACCCGCCTTCGTCCCTGGTAGCCAGCACAACACACCGTCCTCGGCAGGCATCCCGGGAGTCAGAGGCCGGGTCGGCCAGGGAATGCCATGAATGGCGTTGAATTATCGCAGAACAATACAAACACGAATCGTCCATAGAAGCTCCGTCGCTTAACGAAGCAAGCCCGCAAGTACTTGCGTGAACCTTTTGGTGATATCTATATCGATTGACAGCGTTTGGTCCGTGCGGCGGCCAACCCAGCCAGGCATGTGTTTATCGCACCCCCGTGCCGGGGCACTGGCTTTCGGCGCGTGTTTGGCCCTGGGCGGACGAACCGCGGGGAAGCAGGCACAGAGGGCCCCCACCCGGTGACAGCAGAGCGTTACCAGAGTTCAAGCACGCTGCGCAGGCCGGGTCGTCCGCAGTCCCTCTCGCCGCCCAAGTCATGGCTCTGGTGCGCGCGTGCCGTGCTCTGTCGGTGCCGACGCTGGCGCGCCGCGCGCTGACGGTGGCGCCCCGCCGGCAGCTCACCTCCGTCTCCGCCGAGACGCCCATTGGCGTCGTCGGTGTCGGAAATGTCGGTGAGAATGTCCGTCTTTATAAGCGTTTGGTCGTGACGTTGGCAATCCTGTGACCGACAAAGCAGTGAGCCGCCGGCACCGTGGTTTACTCACTGTGTGCGCGCATCCATCAGTGCAAGCATAAATGAAATCAGCGTGAGTTTCTGGATAGCTTAATGCCTTATTTCGTTAAGAATCCGGCTCGATTATCTCCAGGTCCAATCATCCACTAATCACGCTATACAGAGAAATGCGTGCTGACAAGTGGGTTGATGCGTCTGTCATTGTTCCTGGACCCAGTGGTATTGTGTTCCCACACGTGGCCTTTGGTCGTTGCAGAATTACGTAACAGAACAGTTCATCCAACTGTTAAGTGAAACATGAAAGGTATGAATCAGTATGAGGTAACAAATACAGTTACTTCGTACTTATTCAGAATATGAAAATCATATTACTAAACACGGACAGACTGAATCACCTGGCCTCCAACGAAAACATCGTGAGAAGTATGTTTTGGTTATTGAATCAACCCCACGCGTAGTCTGCCTGAGATATCACATCATCGATTTCCCAGAAGGAACAGAAAATTTATCATTTCAACCAACATCTTTTCGATCTCGATAAACCCTGAGCAACTGAGATGTTTGTGCCCTCGTTCTCCGGAAAGGCTGCGCGTAGCGTGCCTGCGGACCGATGGGGCGGCGCTGCTGCCCAACAGGGACAGCAGCTGAGAACGCCTCAGGGCGGAGTTGCCGTCTGGTGAGGTCCCGCGCGGCAAGCTGCACCGCGCGTCTTTTTAGAACATCTAGCGCGGTAATACGGGCCCAGTCAGTCCTCCGCGCAAAACCTTGGCCCCGCTATGAGAAGGGTTGCATTGTCGGCCTCGTTTAAGATAAAACTAAATTTAGGCTGCTGGTCCGAAACTTTGCCTGGATATAACAACATTAAAGGGCGAGACAGAACAAAGATGCATAATACAAAAAAGGAATTAAGTATTAGCCGTTTTCATGAATAGGCACGGTGTAAGGTTTTTGAAAGCTTTTAAAAGCTTTTCACCCTTAATTTTCTAGCCAACCATCTTAAATCAACGGTTATCAGCTTAAGATGCTTCGCAGAGATTAAGACATATTTGTACAGACCTTTAATTAAATAAAATTGCGGTTAGCTGGCTGCAAGCCAGATCATGCTTTTATGGACAGTACAGCGCCAGATTCTTATCCGCCGAAACCTTTCAAAACTTATTAAAAACATTTGGTGGCATCTCTTACACAGACCTGACAAAACAAACTCCTGTATCATCGTAGCGTCCCTGGCCTCAGGGTGCCGACAGTGGTGTGGTTAACGCATCTGCAGTATCCACCGCACGTCTGGGAAACAAGGGGTTCAGGATTCAATTCCCCACGGTCCCCGCCCCTCTTGCCCGCTTGAGAGGCAGGCGACGCTATATAGCCTCAGCAGCAGAGTGCGTCGTAAAGTTCCAATAGCGATAATGACGACACGGCCTTGTTCATTACTATGTAGAACTTACTTCAGCACACACAGAGGCTGCTTACAGTTCTTACTGAGCTAACAGTTCTTGCTGACCTTAACATGATTCAAGATGAATGATCCTTGAGCACAATGATCCTTAAACCCCGCCTTGCTTCACACGCCATCGATGTAAACAACAGCACTCTGTTCTAAAAAGCATAGGATATTGACTATTGCGCTCCGATTGGTGGAGGTGTTATGCTGATTGGTCCCATGGGCTCGGCGCATTGGTTGTCTGCAGCCAATTTGGGTGATTTTGAGCGTTTTCAGTGACTTTTGACCTAAACCAGTCGCCATATTCTGCCAAGGATAGGATACCGACTATGCTGCATCGATTGGTGAAGGCTTTTGATGTTGATGGGTGCCATAGGCTTGGAGCATGGGGTTGTCTGCGACTTAATTTTTCCAGTTTGGAGTATTTTTGGCGGCATTTGACGTGACTCAAGTTTACCATACTCTGGACAGGGTTATCGACCAAGCGGCATCGAATGGTGGAGGTTTGGTGTCGATCGGTGCTATAAGCTCGGGGCATGGGGTTCAACGGATTTTGGTCGGCCGCTTAGTCCCTTCCACAAGATTGGGGCAACCGGCATCCAACACCCTCGCCCGATGCATATCGCTGATTGCCAGGCCTAGTATTTTCGTAGAATTTGGTGAACTAAATGCATGGGCTGAAGAAATGCCTGTAAAGGGTTTCGTTTGATAAAACAGACTTGTGCTTGGTTGGATACGTATGGTCTACCTAATGCATGCTAATGGAATCGCATGAAAACCATATTTTACTTGTGAGAGTGTATAGTAAATAATAAGACTTTGAAAAAAAACATTTTACAGCTTTTCAATACACCATTTCATCGTGAAAATGGCTACTGTACGCTACATCTTCCGACACATTTTTAGTGGCAATCAATATGCATTGCACCCTAATATGCCCCCCCCCCCCCCAAATATGCACCCTAAATTTGATGCCGTAATGCTATGAACAGAAATGACATTACAATGTAAGTATCCCTGTGTCATACTTGCCCTCATGAGCTTATAATAAAGCTTCATCTTTGCAGGATTATTGGAGCGTAAGGGGAAAAATCGGCAAAAAAGAAAAAGAAAAATGAGATGTGCCTGCAACTTTCCACAGTAAAACCCAAAAGGATAGTGATTCGGAAACCGCTATACGTTTAAAGGAGTAGATATACACAACACATTTGTAATGACATTCATCCAAGCAAACAAAACATTTTTATTCTAAAAATAAGCTCTCCCCACGCCCCACCCTCCAAACACGAACAACAGAAAACTAGAATGCTTCCACTTTTACGCCCCGTCTCTGTAGACTTAAGCGATGCACAAAGCACCATCGTCCTTAAGTCGTTTTGAGAACGGCATATTCAGGGGATTTTATGGATTTCTGTTCGCTGATGGTCAAAGCGTGGCGAATCGTGTGCTTCACCACAGGGAGATCGGGCGTTTTCTTGTTGTCCCGTCGTCAAACCCGTCATAGTCTGCGGGAACCGTCCGGACGGTCATACTTGACGCCTGTCACGGAGTTGGGCACTGGCGAATGAAACGACTGGAAGACGATCAGCATTACGTGCGAGGCTGGTGCTCTGTGAGCCAGCTAAGGTCGTTTCATTGATGTGAACAAGGGGCGAGTGAAGGGATGAGCGAAAACTTAATAAAGGAAAGATTCCAAACTAATTATGTTTGTAAGCGTTATTGCTTGTAGATAATCTGATAACATTCTTCAGGGGCCAGCTTATGAGATGACGCCCACCCATGACAAATAACGTGATAAAACATTGGTTAAATCAGTCGACACAATGAAGGGTGCGGTAGTAGCCTGACTTGCATTTACCACCTTTTCTGCGTTAATGAATTGAGCCGCTTCGCAGAGATTAGGATGCATCAGGCAAGAGCTAATACTGGATGCCTGAAATTTAGCGTAACTTGTTAGCTATGAGCAGTACCAATTTCTAACCGTAAAATGCACAATGTTTGTGGGTCCCTGAATTCCATCGCTCCACCACCGGAGAGCTTTCTATTGCTTCAGGGTTTTGCAAACTCTCATCCGCTTATCCACGGACGGTCTCTATCTTAATGTTTTTCGCCATCATCACTGCTTGAGAACTTGATGAACTCCTCCGCCTTGACTATCTCCTCTGTTTTGAGAACTTAATAAACTCCTCCGCAGAGATTGGGATGTGTCGACAACGGGTACTACTGGACGCCGGGAATTTCGGAACATCGTTTTTAACTATGAGTAACACGAATTTCTTATCGCAAAATGTGCATCGTAGGTCCCATAATTCCATCGCTCTACGGCCGGAGAGCTGATACAGTTGGAGAGCTCTACGGCCGGTCGCCAGTGTTGTTGCAACACCTGCGACCTGGCAGCCACCAGCGCGATTTATCGACTGAGCGGTAAGCGGCGGTAGACACCTGGGCGACTGAATGGCGAGGGACCACAGACACCTAGGCGACTGGTCAGGCGTGCTATACACGGAGGCTCCTTCGCTTCGTTGAAACTTACTGTCGAGAGCTTTGGCCGGATCTCCGAGTCGCGAGTGCTGACAGACATGGGTATTAACTCACCGACTGGTCATGTAAACAGCTGACATGTGCACTGACTCGTGCCCTTCAAAAATAATCACCTCAGGGCCAAAGCAGCTTCTGGGCTTCGGTAGACTCTCAGGCGTGCTGAGGTCATTTGCCGACCAAATCACGCGGAAGGTGCATCAGTGCACTGATATTTGGGCAGAACATTCGGTCCTCGCCTTCAATGTTTCGCAACTCTCATCCGCTTATCTACGGACGGTCTTTATTTTAATGCCTTTAACCATTAATGCACAGAACGTCTGCTGTAAAATGTGCTTCGCTGTGGAAGAGGAAGTCGCGCCAAGGACGCCACAAGTTGTGGACTTTCTTCATAGCTGACAGGAAAGAGAATGATCTACAAGTGAATGAGGCGGACGGCAGACCAGTGATGCATCATGATCTCTCTCTCTCTCTCTCCCTCTCTCTCTCTCTCTCTCTCTCTCTCTCTCTCTCTCTCTCTCTCTCTCTCTCTCTCTCTCTCTCCTCTCTCTCCTCTCTCTCTCTCTCTCTCTCTCTCTCTCTTTTCGTTTGCAAAACAATAGCTGCCCTTGTGTTAGTAACGATAAACGGCTACCGCTCTGTGGTCTTTACCTGTGTTGCAGCCAGTTTGATTTTACCAGCAGGACAGCGTTTCCGTTTCGTGATGTCACATGCATTCACTGACAGACTCGTACCGGTGCATTCCATGCACTGTCAAGCAGTCTTTCCCCGCGATAGCGACAAATCCTGACTCTGGGTGCATTGAAGTCCAGACCTGGCCTAGCCCTGAATGCCTGGCGTGTCCTTTGATGCGTCCATCAGGTGTCGAGGATCGTGCCGCCCATCGATTAGACGCATCGGCCCTGTCCGACGTGCTTCTTTCGTTCCTCACCCACACGCGTCCTCACACGGCAGCAGGA